GCATCCACCAATAACAATAATACATGATGATATACAATTGACAAAAACATGGATAATAGACACTCAATCTTGTAAAAGTTGCAACCGATGGCACAGTGTATCTGTAAAGTAAATTTAGCTTATATTAAACATTAAATTAAATTTTAGTTTTTATTCATAACAAATTACCATATATTTTTACCCTTGCATATTAACACGAGATAAACGTATATACCCTGGTGTATTACAGTTTACATTTGTATACACGTAGGACGGTGGTAATTAATAATTATATTAAATGATCTAATTTATTAAATCTTAATATTATTTATGATAATAAGTTATCTTGTATCCTCGTTCTACATTTTAATCTTTAGGATAATGATTTCATAATAATATATAAAACAATAATAAAGTATCATTAAGAAATATTAAACTTAAATGAGTAATATCATAAAATTATATTATTCCGATAATTAAGAATATATATAAAGAAATTCAAATGAATAATTTAAATTTGAAATGTGTTTAATCACAACTTAAAGTTAAATTAAATAAACGCCCATGATGATAAACAATATGGTTAAAATTACATACATTTTGATAGTTAAATAACCGTGCGTGCGTGACGGCCGAGTCTTCTGCGCGTCACCGTCCGTACGTTATAGTGTAATACGCGTATTTTCAACTCGTCGCGCGCACAACATCACTATCATCGTCATTATTATTATTATTATTATTATTATTATTATTACTATTGTTGTTGTTGTTGTTGTTGTTGTTGATGACTGTGATATTGTTATTGCGGTCCGGCTGATAAAAAGTAAAAACCGACGAGAGGGAACCGCGTCGCGCCCCGAGGGAATCCCTCCGTTTCAGAAGTTCTATTGCCGCCGCCGCCGCTGACACATTAACGATAACGGGCCCGTGCGACCGGCGGACGGACGACAATGCCGTCGGGTTGAGCCGAGCCGCGCGTGCGGTTTCCGACTTCCGAGACGTTTTTCATTCATTTCCCGGACGTCGGACGGTGCGCGCTCGCGCCCCCCCCGTCAGCCGAAAAATCCGCGCAACGACCGCGCGCCCCATCGGCCGATTCCGCGCCGCGTATCCGTCGTCGTCGGCGGTCGCGGGCCGACAGGTTTTCCGGAGACGCCATGGACTCGTTGCGCGAACAGGTGATGATCAACCAATTCGTGTTGGCCGCCGGATGCGCCAGGGACCAGGCCAAACAGTTGCTGCAGGCCGCCCACTGGCAGTTCGAGGTAAGCGCACGCCAATTATTCTCGCGATCGTGTCCGCCGCGGTCCCTCCGGCGGCCTTTGTTTCCGCCGGCCGGGCAAAACGGACGTCGGTCGGCGTAGAAAACTACGCAGAAACGTAGTTTCTACGTCGTGGCTACGGATTTCGGCGTAGGAGTTGGAACGACGGTCGGTTCCACCCGCCGTCCCGAAGTTTTTCGTCCGTCCCGCGGTCGTGCCGCCTGTACCCCGTGACCTTGAACTTCAAATCAGCTTATTGATCACGGTGTGTCTACTCTTTTCTCTCCTCGTCTCCGCTGCGTTTTCCGTTTTCCTCAGCCCTGACCGTCGTCCATTACCAGCCCGTGCCAGCCCCTTTACCGTGGTCATGAGTTGTTTGTCGCAGAGTACCTACGGACCAATACCGTCGTCTCTCCTCCCGTAACATTGTGTTCAAATGTCATCGAATCGTTTCATCATGATTCGTGACAATGGCAAAACTGTTTTCTTGTTTGCTGACTTCGCTGAATCAGAAAAATACAACACTCTCATTTTATGCATATCTTTAATGTTTTCATGAAAAAATTTGATGACGTCGAATTATTTTTCCTACGCACCTGCCTTAGCAGCTTAATAATTCTTTTATGTGGTGTGTCCTTTCATTATTATTTATTACTATCATCAATTAATAATTATTATAACTACTATGATATTAATGATTGGTCAATTTAACTTGCTTGATCATCTGACATTCATAAATTTGCTGTCACGAGCAAACGATTTGCTTAATTGGACAAAACAAATTATACATATCTAGACATGAATTGTGTACAAAAATTTGATGATGACGTTAAAATACTATATTACTGAAACAGAACTCTTGATTTCAATAATCATAACAAATACAAAACAGTTTTCTTACTGGTAAAATAAATACTTATTATTATAATGTTTATGTTAGGTAGTTATTGTTTAGATTAGTTTATGTTTGCATGTTAACGATAAAATGGTTTAAGCCCCAAAGATTCTTGCATTATTGTAAGTATTAAAGCATGTTGGATATAATAAAAATATCAATGAATCTAAAAACCATTTTAACGCCATAATGTAAGCGTAGTAAATGTCGTTTATCCCATAAAACAATTGAATACTTTATTGTTTCAGACTGCATTAAGTATATTTTTTCAAGATTCTTCTGTATCAAGTTGCAATCAAAATTCAGCACAGTTTGGATTTGGACAAGTAAGTTATTTTTACTGAAAATTAACAGTAGCATTTTAATATTTATATTTTTTTTTCAGATGACACCGTGTAATACCCCAGCTACACCACCCAATTTTCCTGACACTTTGATCGCCTTTTCACGTATGACAACTTCATCTGAAAATTCAAAATTGGGATCATCACCGAGTAAGTATACAAATGTCTTAAAACACCTTACATTCTGTGACAAAATTGTAAACTGTATTAATATTTTTATTTGATTACAAAATGTTTTTGATATTCCATCTCTCATTTGATGCTGCAATAGTGCAAACCAATAGTCATCACCAAACTTCTTAACGGTTCTCTTGATTTATTAGTATTTATTTGCCTCCGTATTCCTTCCCTATCTACAAGAAATAAATCTTTATTTTTTATTCTTACTCATTTCACATCTTAAAGACATAATCAACCACTTCACAGAATGTCACACTTAACCTAACTTAGTTTCATAACACTTTACCTTTCTTTAATATTTTCATTGTTAATATTTATGTAACCAATGCCCCTAGATGCATCTAATTATAATATAAATAAATACTATTGAGTAGGTAAAGATATAAATTGATACCTACTAAATGTAGTATGGTATGCATAGTATTTACTAAAACCCAGATTTATAGATATATTCTTATTAATTTATTATTATTTTTTTTTTTTGTCTTAAACAATGTTTTTCTATAACTAAAAAAATGTTTGAATAATATATGAATTCAATTAACTAATTTTGATTTTAATTTCTTACAACATTTAAGATCATTTTGAATTATTATTTAAAAGGACCAATTTAAATTGTTCAAAATTCATCATTAATCCAATATATTGAAAATAAAACTCATAGTTTATTTTTCATATTATTTATAAAACAAGATTAATAAGTTATTGTCCATAATTTTATTTTTTTATTATTTTTGTGTTAAATAATTATTAATATATTTTATACAAATTATTTTTATTACTTGTTCTAGATATGTCTGTTTCTCCTCAAAATAGAACCTCATTAGAAAACAGTCAATCAAAAAGGCACCCATATGCGCATTTAGCGCAAAACACAGTTTCAAATAACACATAGGGAACAATCATGTATATTTGTTATTTTTAATATAAACTTAGCCATATTATTGTTTTAGTGTCCAAAAATGACACATGCTTTTTGTAACTTTTTACTCTAGAATAATATTGTTTAGAGATATTTTATCATTTGATTGTTATTATATATATTATCATTTTTTTTATTTATTGTTTTATTTCTGTTAGAAGATATTTTCATTAGAGTAAGTTATTTATGTAACATAATAAATACTCAATTTAAAATTAAGTCTAATGTATTGTAATTATAATTCAATTTCTGTCAAAACCACTGTTATTGCAAGAAGCTTAACATAATAATTATATTAGTTTTTGATTAAAGAGAAAGATCAAACTTGACATTATTTTATTATTATATATATTTTTTTTTACATACATAAATAATTTATATTATAATAGATAATATCTTATTTTTGTTCGTACAACTCAAAATTTCATTATGACTGCGTATCGAGTTTAACAAATACATTACACGACAACAATATTAATATGTTCCAACGTTTTATATTATGACACATAACTGTTGTGGTGTAATTACTAAACTTATAATAATTAAAAATTGTAATAAAGTATATACATTATTTTGTTTGAAAATTACGTTTATTTCATCCTACCATTGTCCCATTCCCCACATGTGTTTCAGTTAAACAATTTCATTGGCATAATCATTATGCCCGTATTGTATTTTATCACTAATACAAATTACGATAGACTATATTAAATGTGTGTGATGTGATTACAAAATATATAACAGCTTGAAAAAAAAATTTGCGCAATAATAATGTTGCCCGCTTAAAATATAAAAAAATTTATGTACTCTGTAAAATTACACATTTAGGTTTTATCATTACCCCGTTTAATGGATCCGTAGTCAACACATAATATTTACACAGTATGCACATACCATGATGTATCTTGAACTAACACGATAAATACATCATTTCCTAATAGCTAATAGATAGGTAAATGTTTTTGTTGTCTCTCTCTTTCTAACCGTGTGCGGTAAAAACAAAACCGTGTTACGTGTAATTGGTGAATTAAAAACCGTTCGCGTGCACAATTTTTATTACTATGCAAATATCCTTGTCTGAAGGCCGTCTAGTAAGCCGTTAAAAATCAAGTCTGTGTCGTAACGTTGTTTATAACTACGACGTATCCCGGTATCCGCATGTTATGACTCGCATCTTGCAAACGTAGAGGCAACAAAGCAAATTTTACGTTAAGAACCCATTTTAAATAAGTAATCAACAGGTAGTGTCGTCACTGGTTGGCTTCTTCCTTAATATTTATTTATTTTTTTATGTTCTTCATTCTGTAGCAAATATTCTTATTGTACCCCAGGGCACAGATTGTATATAACGTGTAGTAATAAAAAGAAAAAAAAAGAATCCATTTTACTCTATAATTTTTAGTGAATTAACCTACTATAAAATTTAAAGGTAAAAATATTATTTATGGCACCTCATCGGTTATTTGATGATTCATTAGTATTTTAATTTTGAAGTAAGTTTTAAAAATTAGTCATTGAACCAAAAAAAAACCTACGAGTTACCTAAGATGATGTTATTAGTTTTAAATTGAATAATTTATTAATTCGCTTAAATATTAAAAGAATACTGAGTAAAATGGATTCTTCTTAATGTAAAATTAACCATGCTCATATATTATTTAGATGAAAACAACACATGCAGCCGTGCAAATAAGATGTCCCCTCTGATCACAGCTGTGTTTCCGAAAAGATAATTGAATTCGTTATTAAGTTAAATTGAAAAATAATTTTCCACTGTTTTAAAATTTAAACTCTTAAAAGTTCTTTATAATTTGATTTTTAAATTTTGAACATATTGTATATCTTTAAAATGTACTTAATATTAGGTACACTAAATTATGTAAGTCATTTTTAAGTTAACTTCATAAATCATAAATCATAAATCATAACGAATTCTAAAATATTTTCAAAAATTTTATCGAATAAATAAGTTAATTAAAATAAACTAAATATTGATACTTTTAGAAAAAAATATAATAATTAATAGTCATGTTGTGCCATGTACATCGTTGAATTAAAGTATTTTTGGTGTTCCTCTATGACCCCAGTCCCTAGTAAACAAAATTTAGAGACAATAAATGTATTTCTAATACATTTCATGATTTAAAATAAAAATACACTTTTACAAATTAAAAAAAAAAAAAATGTAAATAGCATCTAATTGTTTAGCTTTAATTTTTAATTTATTTGTTAGGTAGGTAAAATATTATTATTATACAATATACATTATTACATTAATACATTTTTAAATACTACTATTGATTAGTATATGTTAGCTTTTTCCCAAACGTATTGTTTACATTTTAAAATTTTTTATGTTTGTTGAAAGAATCTTTTGCTTTATTTACCTTAAACCAGTGATAGATTAAGGGGGGGGTATACAGCTTATACTTAGTTCTCTAGTTTTTATTTTAGCATATACCTACTCTCTAAATCTACAATGATACGGAAGTATACGGTCGTATAGCCTATCACATACCTTTTATAATTTTCGGTGATAAAAACAAAAATTTTTATTATTTTTGTAATTTTCATTTCTCAGATGAAATTTATTATTTAGTACATAATATTATTAGCTAACTATAAAAAAATATTTTAAAAACCAATTATCAAACCATTATCTAAGATATTCAGTATCAGATATCGATAAAATAAATTATGTTTATTTTTAACTCGTTATACTTGTACATTTATAATATGTATAGATATGTGTAAAGTAAACGTTTAATTATAATTATACATTTCTATGAGTGTGTGGGTATGACACACATTATGCAGGTAAAAGTTAATACCTATATAATATTAATATAATACATATTCTTCGTACAATCGTACCTGAATTTTCAATCGTTTATTTTTAAAAATATATATCAAAATAAAATAATTTAAAATAACTAGACTGTTATTAATGTTATTATAAATCAATAATTATTAACCAATTGTTCGTAGACGGAAGTAAGTATAACCATTCTCAAATTTGAGAATTTATATTAGAATTTGTTATTTTCTTGAATTTGTATGCATTTCTCATAGACTATATTAATAATTGTTGTAAGTTCTTTGTTGCCTGTTGGTTAACGTATTATAATTTGTATACTTCAATACTTGTGAAATGTGGTAATATATAATTAATATTGTTTTTCAACTTTATTATAGTTAATATAATATTATAAGCATTAAGTAAGTCAAGTTTTATTATATGCAGTCAGCAGAGCACGAGGCTCCGCCGAGTTAAAGCATTTTTATAAAGTTAATATAATTTTGTCATATGTGAGTAACGAAATACAATTTACAACATTTGTGCCTTGTGATAAATACTTTACATTTTAAGTATACATTTTGAAAATTTTGGTATAAAAGTCATAATGTACATATTTTATTTTAAAAATTGCCAGCTATTATTATTTACTAATTTAAAAAATAATTGATAAATTATAATGGATGAAAAATTAAGAGTACATTTTTAGCGCAATTTCAAATCGGTCTAGTAAATTCATGTGTAACGTACCTATTACTACATATATTATAATTCTCATGGTTTTTTTTTTAAAAAACACTACCTAGATACTTCATGTCTTCAACAGGCGTGTAATAAAATGGAGTTTTAGGGGTTTAACGAGAACTACATGTTTTCTTTCGGCTTTCACGAAATTTCAGAAAAATGATAAAGAATATTTTTACAGAGTTAAGGTCAAGTTAGTGTCAATCAACTTTTGTTATATAACTAACTACAACTTTAAACCCCCTTCTCCCGATACAAAAATATATTTTTTATACACACACCTATTTATCCGTCAACTACCTACACACCCAACCTTTGCGGTAGTATGTCACTGATTTGTGCTCTCCTCTCTAAATGACTGGTACTCTGGTGCTCAGTATATTTAAAGTACTACTTCTAGTAGAATAAGCACCCAACACTAAATGCGTTACTAAATTACTAATATTTTCATTTTATATAGCTGCATTGGTATTTCGTATGTTACTCAATGCTCAAATTAAATATGTAACCAATTTGTATCGACTGTCGATGATTATAAATATAAATGCATTCAATATTATGTATTCAATCAATATATTCTTTAAAAAAATTAAACTTTTTAATTGTTTTTTTATACAAAGTAAAAATGCAGACTCGTAGCCACGTGAAAGAGACTCGTGGTCGTCGTATTTTGATTTGGTCTGAGACTCGAATTCGTTTTTGGAAATTCGGCGCTACTGTCTGTGAGAACTAATACGTGTGCTGCAAAATTCAGGAGTGCTCCATTATTTTTTTTAAACTTCGATAACGCCCTTGCTAACAATAATTTACCTACTTCTTGCTTTACATATTTATACGACACCCACACTTGGAAAATATCATATGTGATATGTGGAATTATTTGACTCTTTAAAAACGGTCAGTGTTGAATTTGTTTGAAGCATCGAGATAATATTATTACGAAGAACAATATTTATATGTCCGAAGACTATGGTCAAAATTAGTAATATTGCCATTTGTCACTTACGAAAATGGGAAATGTATGTGATGGCGATCGTCATCAAAAATTTAAAATAGATACTATAATTCCTATCTCCTATGTGATCATGACGCGTATACATAAGCTATAAGTTATAATAAATAATAAATAATTTATTACCTATATTATGCTCGTTAGTATTGTAGTTATGGCTAACTATTTTTTTTTTTTTCATATTCAGACATTCAGTACTCACTAGCTACTCAAACGATCTAGGCGCATCCGGTGACAGTTTAACCGAACGGTTTTCCTCCGGACTTTTCGGATGACGCCGATGACGGCATTATAATCTTTTTTTCTATTGCTTGTTTCCTTATCAGCTCTCTACGTATATACCGTAGTCGCAGAACAACACTATTATCATTCTGTTATCGAATTATTATTCAAATGTCCCCGTCGTGCCATAGTCGTAGTGGTTTCAATATTTTGTGGCAACTGGTGAGCCTGGAGGGGCACGTCGCCGCCGCCGTGCTGCTGATAACGTAAACAAAATGATTTCAAGCCTATAATAGTAAAATTCGACTTCAGTACTTCGAACTGCTGTCCGTCGGTTTTCGGCACCTGCGATATTCAAATTCTTCTGCTAAACCGTTTGCCGAAGGGAAGTTTTCACGTCTATATAGTCTCTATTCGTCCGTTTATTTTTTTCCATTTCCGTCGGGCACCTGTGGTGGTGGCGGCGGCGATCGGCCCGCCTATTCGCCGAATCCTGTTTACTGTTCTAAAGGTGTCATCGAGACATTGACACCGTGTCCACTCTGCGGATACATGTGCGCTTATACCCTTGCAATATCGCCCCAACGAATCGACAGATGACGGTTTGATGACATGACTGAAGAAAATTGGACCCATGTCAGCGACCGAAAGAGATATGGAATCGGTGAGTCCTTGGCTTGAACGGTTGTATTTCATGGATCGAATAGGTGTATTGTTTTCAACGTTTGGAAACTATAAACCAGGTCGTTTGTTTTTTATGTCCGTGCAATGTTTTAGTTAATGTCTTTCGATCACGAGTCTTGCTTATTCTGATGTACTGATTCAGTTGTAAATGTTTGCTACATCTCTTTCTTTGTGTGTGACGCACTAGCGATTGTTATTTGGTACTGAGGATTTATATTATATGTCATTATGATGATTTTATTTCGTATGAAATATAAATACCCAGTGTATTATAATTTGTCCATGTATTAGGTTTATATAAAAAATAATTATGTATTAGATGGGTAGACCTATCTATTGAATATCACTAATTTTAATAAAAATAATTAAGTAGTTTTATACTTATTGTATATTTATATAAAGTATTTGTCTTATTTTTAAATAAATTATAAACCATTCAAAGTATTTTTACTTGCAAATAATATGTCCAAATTACAAAATAATAAAAATAACTTAAAAGTGCTTAGTGTTAGGTTAATAATTTTGTATGAACAATGTAGTATCTAAGTAACTAATTGATAGAAAAATACTACTTAGTAGTTAGCATTCAATTTTCATATGAATTGTGGTAGATAGAGTTATAAGAATTAAATTTACCGAGATGAGTCATTCATTTTGGTTAAATTAATGACTAATGTATCAATCCAATCATTTATTTAAGTATTAAATTCACAATTAATTTACCAATTAATATCACAAATTAATTTTTTTTTCCTCATTTTACAAAATAGAATTTTAGTATAAAATTCTTGAACAATGTTAATGAAATGAATTGTTAATTATGTTCTCTTATCTCATTATAAAACTGTTTGTAATTATGTTAAATGTGTTAGCCATCAAGTATACAAAAATATATTGTTACTCCCATCATTACCTCCTATACAGATACAGGATGAGCTTGTTAGCAAATTTCAATGACATCCAGTATTTCTAATTGAGTGTTTTAAAACAATACCATAACTGCAAAAGGGGACAAGCTATACTGTTTTATATTCTATTTCGTTTATTAGTATAATTTATTAATTTGTGACCTGAATTTGTTTTGATTTATAGCCATTCATAACTATCTTCAAAGTGGACCACATCGTATCAAACTGTTGGCGGGTGAATGTGTTCACGTTCTGGAAGAAAGTGCTGAATGGTATTACGGGTTTACTTTTAAGAATAAATCAACCCACGGAATATTTCCTAAAAAATTTGTTCATATCATGGATAATGTCGTTGAAAAATTTGGGTTTGTTTGATTTTTAAAACTAATTGTTAAGTGATTAATCAATTTGTATCTTTATTAGGCCAGCTGAGTTGACAGTTTTAAAACAACCACAAATTGTACATGAATTAACCAGCGTTATACGAGAATGGGGTGCCATATGGAAACAATTATACATAGTAAGATCAAATTATTTGTAAATGTGCACATGTATATATATTTATATTTTTTTTTCAGTCTCACAACTCAAATTTTAAAAATATAAAAAATAAAATGTACGAATTAATAAATTTTAGAAGTAAAATATTATCTGGTACACTTCCAGTAGATGAGCTTAAAGAAGTACAAAGACTAGCTACATCTACCATAGATATTGGAAACAAGTAAATCAATTTTAGTTATAAAAAAAATATGTTTTTAAATTGTTTAAAATATCACAATTATTATTCAACTAATGACTCATCTGTGATGTAATTTTTGTTGAAATGACTTAGCTTATATTTTGAATTATTAATATGAAAATTAATAATATTTTTTTTTTTTTTTTTTAGATTATTAGGTCTAGATATGGTAGTCAGGGATGAACAGGGTAATATTTTAAATCCATTACATACGCCAACCATCCAACTATACAAACACCATGAAATTGCCACTGAGCGCATCCAAAATTCTCACGTAAATTTTGTGTTAATTTAATGTACCCAGGATGTTTTTAAATATTATCATATTTATTTTTATAGACTGCTGGTGTATATAAAAAGTCAATTCAACAAATCAATTATTTATATAACTACACAGTGTATTTATCTGTACACAATTTTATGTGTAAAATGATGGATGATGCTGAACTGCTATTAACGTTATATGATGCTAAGAGTGGTAAATCATTTTCTGAAAATTTCGCTATACGATGGGCAACCAATAAAATGGACCAAGGATGGTCTCAGACTGATATTTTTCATAATTTCAGAGCTTTATTCACAGTAATATTCTAAAAAAAATTGTATAATTCATTTTTTCATGTCTAAAAATATTTACAATTTTCATCATCTAATTTTTAGGACTTAGGAACCAGGGATCTAACTCGAGAAAAAGTATATTTAGTATGTTATATAATAAGAATTGGTGGTATGGATAGTGATAGTAATAATAAAAAGAGTTTGGCTACAACACAAATTCGTAGACCTTGGGGTGTTGCTGCTATGGATCTGACTTTGTATTTTACTCAAAAATTAGAGAGTGATGAAGACAAGCATCATTTTATGCCATTTTTACCGTAAGTATATTTTGATTTAATTTCTAACTATATTTTTAGTTAAATTAATTTTTTTAATTAGATGTGAAAAGGATAACCTGGAAAATACCCTAAAAAGGTATTTAAATCTCAGAGACTATTCTCATAAAGAACACAAAGGCCAAGGACTGTATGTCAGTTTTAAATTGCTTCATGGGGATATTAAACAGGTATTTTAATAATTATCCTACTATTTTTTTTTTTTTTAATTTTATCAATGTTTTATTTAATTGATAGGTGCGTGAAGAATGTCCACATTTAGTACTTGGTAATGTTGCCTTGGTGAGAAAAATGGGCTTTCCAGAAGTTATATTACCTGGCGATGTAAGAAATGATCTCTACTTAATGTTGGTAAATGGGGAGTTCTCGAGAGGAAGTTTGTCTTCATCGGACAAAAATATCCAAGTTACTGTCACTGCGTGTAATGAAAAAGGTGTTAAATTACTAGTAAGTTATGATTGTTTCTGATTTATGATATAAATAATAAATATGTAATGTCTTTAATGTTTATTTCAGGGTGTAATCATGTTAGGTGGTGACTCTGAACCACTTTCAGATTTTAATTCTGTTGTTTATTATCATGAAGATAAACCTCGCTGGTATGAAATTGTAAAATTAGCCATACCTATAGAGGATTTTAAAGGAAGTCATTTGAAGTTCATGTTCAAACATAGATCATCTAATGAAACTAAAGATAAAAATGAAAAGCCATTTGCACTGTCATTTGTTAAATTAATGCAAGATAATGGAACTACTTTGAGAGACACGTCACATGAACTATTGGTGTACAAAGTATGCTATATACAATTTGTATTTTTCTAAAAACTGATTATTTTATGTAAAATACAATACATTGTATTACAGATCGATCATAAAAAATTTGATTATATGGATATATCGTATTTAAGTCTTGCTTCAAGGAAAAATGAATTAACCGATACAAATAATCATATATCTGTACCTGGACTAACCTTGGCTAATAAAGATATATTTGTAATACAGTCAAATATTTGCTCAACAAAACTAACACAAAATGGTATATTAGTAAAATATTTATATGTATATTATATGTAATAGTTTTTTTTTTTTTTTAGTTGATCTCTTGGGTTTGTTAAATTGGACAAGTCACCCTGATAAATTACGTACAAGTTTATCTGCTTTAATGATAGTTGATGGCGAAGAAGTAGTTAAGTTCTTACAAGACGTTTTAGATGCATTATTTAATATTCTCATGCATAATTCTGATTCTGATCTCTTTGATAATATGGTTTTTGATTGTTTGGTTAGTAAATATATTTAAACTTCAATTTATTTTATTAATTCCATTATTCATACATTTTATTGTATATTTAGTTATATATTATTGGATTAGTTTCTGATAGAAAATATCAGCACTTCCAACCAGTTCTTGATTTATATATTAAAGAAAGCTTTTCTGCAACACTGGCCTATAAGTAAGTTATAATTTAAAATGTATTTGAGAATAAATTATTTTACAGTAAATATAATTTTTCTATGTTTTAGTAAATTGATAGTAGTTTTAAAGTTTCATTTAAGTAACTTGGATCAAACTGACAAAGATCTTTTATTAAAAATAATGAAATCATTCAAGTATATCATGAAGTTTATTGCTAGATCCCGTTTTTTGTTTTCTCAGTAAGTGTTTTTATTATTATTAATATATTTTTAATTTTTAATTTTGTATAAGAACGATAATAGATACATTCATTAGTATTTTTTCATACTTGCATGATAATAAATCTAAACATTAGACTTTCATAAAAGTAACATGTTTAATGACTGGTGACAAAAATATGTCAGTAAATTAATTTTTAAAACATGTTGTAGAAAGAGGAAAAATGAACTGATCTTCAAACTAATAGTTTAAAGATAAAATTATTAACCAAGGGTTATTGTTGCTTTTAGTATTAAATGATTGGATGGAACAATTGTCAAATGTATTACTTCATTAATAATTTTAACCAATTTCTAAAAAAATTAAAACAACCAAAATAGGTTGCTAGAATCATGAAAAAAAACAACATTACTATAATTTATTAATTAAAAAAATATACTGAACATTTGCTTTGAAAGTATAGACTAATTTCACACATTAAATGACAGAAACATAATATATATGATCATTATAGCCACACCTACAAACAGGTCATACCCCTGTCTAAAATATTTCATTATAATCATTAGTCTTTCATACTGCATTTGTAAAGAAATTTTTATTTATTTATATTTTATTAAATATCTTAAATTTTGTGCCATGCTACATTTACTTCCAATATCAAAAATGTATGATAGCTATCTATTTTTGCTTATAATTGTAATTATGTTGTATTAGTTAATTGTCAATATAATTAATATAATATGTTATGTATTTATTATTTATATTTAAATAGATTATATGAAGGCAAAGGACAACAAACTTTTGAAATGTCCATGTATGAAATGTTGAAGTTGATATCCAATTTAATGTGTAGTAATTCAGATTCAACATTATTTTTACAAGGTGCATGTCTTAAATATATTCCCTATTCTATTCCTGACATAATGACTGTCTTTAGTACTACACAATTAAGGTATATAATCATATTATTTATTGTTGAAAATCAATGTTAGCGAGGTTAGTATGTTATCGCTTATCTGCTCATTTCAAATTTTCTGTTAAAGTACATTACTGGTGGAACTCATTGGTAACTTACCTCCATCCAGATTAGTAAAACAAAAGTTGATTACCATGAGTGATATAGTTCATAGCCAACTTTTTTTAAACTCAGATTGCCGTGCCATATTACTTCCATCTATTCTTGCTAGAATTAAAGAGCTTTTAGAGTCATCTGATGAGGTATGTATCCCATTTAAAACTGGATATTACATTTAATTTTAATGTACTCAATTTTTTTATCCAACTATAATATAATTCTACTAACGTTTTACTATTTACAATTTATTTTTTTGTCATGAAATATTTTATTTAAATTAATAATTTAAGTAATTATTGGTTGGATGAAAATATTTGATCACATTCCATTATTATTTTGTTGCATCTTGATTTTTGCAACATGCATGCTTGTGTTTTAAATACCAATTGTGGGACAGAATATTCATTATATTTTAACCAACAATATATATTGTTGCATACTCATATATATAGTGTCTAGACTGTTTTAAAACAAATCAATATTTTGGACAAATGCTAAAAAAATATTTTAACACTTTCTAGACACTGTGTATATAATGTATATTTTACATTAATTTTTGTTCTAACCAAATGGCGTTATTTTTTATGTGTATAAAAACAAAATGGAATGAATTGTGTATAACTAAAAGTGTATGTTAACATAATATAATTGTATACATATTTTAACATATTTCAGTGTTTATGAGAGTTTACCTCGTGGTTGCTTGTTGGCCTACCACTCGCAGCACATTGGCAATCTTGATTTGTTTTGTGCTTTTATTGAAATAAAATTTATCAATTTCTATTGTTTAAATGTTGCAAATACTAATACTAAATGTGGTTAAAATTGTTCATATAAGTACCAAATCTATATTTTTTTATCTTAAAAGTTTATTATCTTGATAATTTATGAAAAAAAAGTTCTATCATCTTTTGCTATTTCTTCAATACAATTTTAAATACTTCTTTTTATTCTAAAATTGATTAATGTATTTGGGTATTGGATGATAATTTGTACTTATTTACCTATTTATTTAATGAAATTAATTTTATTTATTAGAATTATATTTTATTTTCATTATTAAAGTTATAATATTAAGTTTAATATAACTTTAAAAAAATAAATATTATTATTATAAGTTATTAGACTTTGAATGTCATTGACTAATTTTAATGTTGTAACTTATAATTAATAAAAACAAAATACTTGAATGGCTTGTATACAATTTTATATTAAAAACCAACTTATAATATAAATAGTGCATGTATGTCTTGGGATTTAAAAACAAAAATTAATACATTTGATTATTTGATATACTAATATTTCTATAATAGTTATAACTAATGAGTAATGAGTAATGACTAATAATATTTGCTTGGTTTTAAGTAACAAATAAATTGACTCAACAGATTTTTTTTACAAATCTGTAAAGTATCTGTGTAAGAAAATTTTTTTGAGTATTGTTATGTTTGAGTAATATTTAAAAATAAATGCATTATTTAAAAGTTACATATTAGAATTATTAGTGTTAATTTAACATTTTAAATTGACTACATAGGATATTTATTTTAATTTATCGTTTGTTTATTTTATGTTTAAGTGCTTTAGTATGATTTTAATTTAAAATATTTATTTTAATAAATTATTATTGATAAAAAATAATTAAATGTATTTAATTAAACAAAACATCATTATATGTATTTATCTTAGAGTATTTAATTAAATCATCTTTCATAAAATGTTAATGCTATTTTATATCATACACCATTAAATAATGCATTTATTTTTTTATAATTACAATAGTAAAATAATTATTATAAAAAAAATTGAATTAATTACATTTTATGTAATTTAATTGTCGTCATTTTTTATTGTTAGTCATAAACCATTAGTTCATTTTATATTGAAATAATTGTTGGACTTCTGTTATTTTTAAACTTGATATCAATATAAGGTAATAAGGTACTTATTAGAAAAAGAAAAAAAAATATTCGTTAGGTGATATTTAGTAGTAGTATTTATTAACTCCACCAGGCGAAAACTAGCATCGAGTTTCGAAACAAAACAAAATCAGTAGCAAAAATTGCCAAAGTGCTGGGAGAAAATGGCCGCAAGTTACTAGATTCTCCTGATATGAGTGATCAAGTATGTTAATTATAATTATGTATTTATACACAATAAATAACACTTGGTTTTTACTTTAAAAATTAAAACCTTAAACTAGATTTATTTTTAATTAGTCTTATGTCACCAGTAAATTATATTAACAACATATTTTTTCAGAGTAACATAATATAACAGTTAAAAATAAATTTCTATATGAGTTGTGGTAATTTATAAAAAAAAATAGTCATTAATAGTCCATGTAACTCAAATGTATCGGTACTGAATTAAAATATTGAGAATAATTCAATACAGACACTTTAAGAAATAAAATATATATAGGAAATTTTTTAAGTGTTTTGCTTATCATATAAGTGTTTTTGTAGTGATAATTGTTTGCGTGAAATGTACATGTCTATAATCAATATTGTGATATATGAATATTAATTATTTTAGTTTTTGTTTAAAAGTATCAACATTTAGATAATATTATATTAAATAGCATATATAACTGACAAAATTTCTAAAAATATATTTGAATTTGTCACAAAGTTAACTTTAGATTGATTTTTTTTACGTTTTTATTTTAGATTCTGGGCAATAAATGTATTGATTTTACAGTGTATTTTTGTATGTTTGTATAAACACGATAATTAGTTGATAAAATGCTTTGATTTTCTACTTCCTGATCGATTTTGTAAAGCAAAATATTAGATAGAGACTTAAGAGAGATCAAAATAAAAAATTCTCAGTAATTTTTTTCATAATTATTAATAATGGAATTTGTACGCTAAACTATAGTTTTTGATAAAATCAATTTTTTTTATTTAATTCAAAAATAAATAATCATAAATAGTTCCAACAAATATTTATATAATCATTTTTTATATGGTATCTTTGTAAGTATTTAAACTTATATACAAAAAAAATTTTAAAACTTTTTGATCTATGTATAGCTGTAACAAATTTTCAATACTTTTTAGTTTTTTTCCCTATAACTTTTTATTGAAAATTATTCGTCTAGTCAAATATCTTAAAAATTGAATACAAAATCTCACTTAAATTATTTTATATTTGTATAAAAATGTTAAAAATATATAGACATAATTTTTTTGATATTTATTTAAAGTTAGAATTTTGATAAAGTTTATTATTTTACTATAAAACAGTTGGTATTGAATTCCTAAAAAAACAAATCAAACCAAATAAAAATATACTTACAAAAACTTAAAGTACATTTTAGTTAGCATTTTTATTTTATATTTTATCTATATTTCATTGTCTAAATATTTATTCTTTTATTGTTTACATTTATGGTTACAAAAATATTATTTGTCAAAATTCCAACTTTTTTTGTATATTATTTTCATTTATGATTTAAGTAATTTTTTTTTTTAGATGAAGTTCTTAGTTTTATTTCTCGTATAAATATGCAAATATTATAATATAGCATAAATATTTGCTTTATGTCTATTCATCTTTATTTTCATGCATATTGAACAATTTTTTTGAATTTTTATTATTTAGCAAAGTTGTCTACTATTGTTATTTTGTATTGATGAACTTAACATTGTATTGTATACTATGTGGCGATTTAATTTGATGAAAATTGACTAATTTGTTGTACATTTTTAATTTGTTTTTACTACTGTATTCATTGTATATAGGTCGAAATGTGTGTAAAACTGTTAGGCGACATAATGGATTTGTTGTACGTAGCTGACACGGGATCGACATTTCGTGATATCACCGAAATTATGCTTACTGTCATGCGTACAGTCATCCAAACTACCATTGCGATGAACCGCGAAGGGACATTAGTGGTAAGTAGTAAATACCATGATGATTTTTTTTTAAATATTTGATGTGTTAATAGTTTTAATGAAATAATATTATCATTAACAAATAACAATTAGTTATATATACGAGTAATTAGTGGCAAGAAATATCATTGTTAAAATAATTATAATTTCGAATTTTTGTGCTGTAGGGCTACCTCGTGTCTATCATGATATCAACGTTGCGCCAAATGACCGCTGAACACTTTGACATATACATCAAAAATTTTCCTACAAAAATTGACCTATTAGATTTTTTAATGGAAATACTGCTTGTCTTCAAGGATCTTGTCATACGACCAGTGTTTCCCAAAGACTGGTGTGAGATGATAATGCTTCAGAACAGGTATGGCATTGTTATACTTTTTAGCGCAACTAGGTGAAAGGGGTACACAGGGGCTTGTGCACTTCAAAAATAAAAATATTTTTCATTAAAATTGAACTATTTTGAAGTAAATTTTATAATTAATTTAAATATTTTATACTATACTGTATACTGAGAAAATAAGTACTTATTATGTTCCCAGCTATTATATTAAATATTAAAGGATGTAACAAATAGTTTTGAAAAATGAACAAATTTAAAATTAATATAGTTTGCTTTCAAAAAAAAAAAAAAATCATTTTTAAATAGTTTTGGTTTTTTTATTTTGTTAATCTGTAATTGTATTATCAATTTTAAAATAAAGTACAATAAGTACATAAATATATATTTGAAATTAGGGCAAAGGCCCCCCATGGATCTGAGTTCTTCAACTTTTGTGTATCCCTAAAAATATTGGTCTAGTTACATCTATGAGCATAGTATGTATACAGAATATAACATATTGAATAGTAAAGTATTTTAGTTTTGGTTTGTAGTATCATATACTGGATCCACTAAGTAATAATTTCCTTCTCCTTAGAATCTTGAATCTTGATTAATTGTTTATGTCACCTCTCAAATTTTTGTAAACTGCAGGTTTTTTATACTCTTTTATTTGTGCTACTTGCATAAAATTCACAGTTAATATTTATTTAAATATTTCTTTACACAGTGTAATATTGAAGTCATTGAGATACTTTTCACACACGATTCGTGACTATTTCTTTAAAGACTTCGAACATCAAGCATGGAATAATTTCTTCCACTGTGCTGTCACGTTTTTAACGCAGCCATCACTGCAGCTCGAACAGTTCTCATCCAATAAACGTTGGCGGATCATCAGTCGGTACAAGGATATGCGCAGGGAAACTGGATTTGAAATCCTGAGCATGTGGTTTAACTTGGGTAAGACTTTCATAGAATACTACAGTAATATTATGTTACTGTGCCATTTCAGGTTCTTGATTAAGTTTCAGCTTTAAATTTTGTTTTCATCGTTTAACAGGGCAATACAAAGTAAATTTTGTCCCTAGTCTGGTGGGCTCCTTTCTAGAAATGACATTAACACCTGAAGTTGAATTACGTAAAGCCACCATACCTATATTCTTTGATATGATGCAATGTGAGTTTTATTCGTGTTTTGATGGTCATACAAACAAACGGGACTCAAGTAACATCAAAGCTAAATTCAATGACGTAAGTCTATTTTATTAAATCTTATAAATTTGAAATAGTAAATATTGTAATGTGGCTTATCAAATTTACTATATTTGACAGTTTGAAAACGAAATGATTGCCAAACTTGATCACTTGGTTGAAGGTGGTAAAGGTGATGAACAATTCAAAGAACTTTTTGAATCTATAATGTTAAGAAAGTGTGAAAATCATTCTACCATGAGAGATCAAGTAATTAAAATATTTAATCCTTAAAGTTAAAAAACTTTAGAAAGCAGACAAGCAGAGTATTTTGCTTCAGGGCTATTATAAGTACTGGCAATTATTAATTGTGTAAACTTTTCTAATTAATCATAAAATTTTAAGTACACAAAATAAATTAAATATTTCTTATTACATTTTAGTACGAAAAATATAGTTTCAAGAATATTTATCATCAGATACATAAATATTTTATTCCTATTATTTTGTTGAATAATACAACAATTGTGCCAATACTATTTTCTTTTTTTTGACACATTAGATACAAAGTTACTATAATTTATAACTAATTATTAATATAATATTTTTTCAAATTTCAAACTAAATTAATACAATACAGTTTCAATTTCTTTTATTGTTTTTTTTTCGTTTCATATTATTCTAGTCATAAAGCTAAAGTTGAATAATTTAAGTAGTATAATATTTATTATGCATAAGCATAACTATTCAATTAAAGCACAGACACGTATAGTGAGAAAATAACATTGATTATTGATAAAAAATAAAATAAAAAGTGATACACTCAGCATACTTTACTAGTTATGTAACACTACACCTATAAAAACAAGTATATTATTATTTTTGTAGTTATTTTGATTTTTTAAAAGTTTCTCATTTTTAAGTATATATGTATAATTATATAGGTATTTTATTATACTTGATGTTTTTAGACTTAAAAATCTTATAAATCTCCAAGGAATAAAATAAAACATTTTTAAACATAGTTTTTATTGAATTTCAGGGTAATCGATTTGTTAAAATAGTTACCGGTCTACTGGAACGATTACTAGAATATCGAGCTGTTATAAATGATGAAAACAAAGAAAATAGAATGAACTGTACAGTTAACTTATTGGTAAGAAATATATAAAAACCTAATTAAAATGCAACGCAACATTTTAAGTTCTATAACTTTTTTTTGTCTAGAATTTTTATATGGATATAAAACGACAAGAAATGTACATCAGGTATGTGAACAAACTGTGTTCTCTTCATTTAGAATGTGATGACTTTGCCGAAGCTGCATATACTCTTAGACTACATAGTGAATTACTATCGTGGTCGAATGATTTATTGCCACCTTTATTACGGTCTCCGTTGAGATACCCGACATGTGACACACATAGACAATTAAAGGAAGCTTTATACCATGACATCATTGATTATTTCGACAAAGGAAAAGTAAAATACTTGTTAAATTTAAATAATTTTATAGAAATTGTATGTATTATACTATTTTTCAGATGTGGGAATGTGCTGTATGTATGTGTAAAGAACTAGTGAGACAGTGTGAAAGTGAAACTTATGACTATATACAGCTAAGTTCATTATTACAACGTATGTCAAACTTCTATGATAATATAATGAAGCAGCTTAGACCTGAACCAGAGTATTTTAGAGTTGCATATTATGGCAAAGGTTTTCCTTCATTCATACAAAATAAAGTTTTTGTATACAGAGGAAAAGAATATGAACGTCTAAGCGATTTCTCAAACAGAACACTGAATCAATTTCCTAATGCTACTTTAATGCAAACACTATCAAAACCTGGATCAGAAATCACTGAATCTTTTAATCAATGTATCCTTTTAAAAATGAAAACATTTTTATTGAAATTGTGTTTAATAATCATGACTAATATGTTCAATAAACATTGATTTAATATTTGAATGATACAATATTTTTAAATTTCTTTAACTATGTAATAAATTCAGATATTCAAATTAATAATGTAGAACCTGTAATGGATGAACGAAAAGAACATTTACTAAGAAAACCGATTAGCCAGCAAATACTTAGACATTACAGGTAAACTATTATAATAATTGACAATGTAATTATGTAATTGATAATTAAATATTTTTGTATTCTTTTATTTCTTAGAGTGAATGATGTGAAAAGATTTAAATTTTCAAGACCATTTTACCGCGTAGATCCTAAGGTAAACTCAAATGATGATAACGAATTTGCAAATCTATGGATTGAACGCACAGTTTTAGATACAACGTATTCATTACCTGGTATACTACGATGGTTTCCAGTTAAACATTATGATACATATGAAATAAGTCCACTTAAAAATGCAATTGAGACTATGCAAGAAACAAATAAGTAATAAATGTTAAAGTATTTCTCCAATTAGTATTAAATTTATTGTTTTTTATTGTAGGCATCTAAGAGAGTTGATAATTGCTCATCGAAATGATTCAACATTGCCATTGAATCCTCTGACTATGAAATTGAATGGCATACTGGATGCAGCTGTGATGGGTGGTGTGACTAAATATGAAAAAGCATTTTTCACATCTGAATATTTAATGAATCACGAAGAAGATGAACAATTTATCGAAACATTAAAGGATTTAGTTGCTTCTCAAATACCATTATTAGATATTGGTGTAAAAGTACATAGTGCACGAGCTCCACCGTCTTTGACTCCTTTGCAGTCACGTTTTGAAGACTGTTTTGAAAAAATGAAAACACACATTGAAGAAAATTATGGCAAAAAAGTATATTTATTAACACAAATTACAAATCTTATATATTCAATTTTTAATTATTGTTGAGTATTTATTCATTGTTATTTGTTTTAGACTTGTGATATTAAATTTGATGTGATCAAAATGAGAAGACATACAACTGCGGGAAGTCGTTTTAACGAAAAAAGATATTCTGGTTCTAGCATTGGATCTACAGAGTGAGTCAATTGTATAATTGTGGGTAATAAGGGAGGCACATACTTTGAAATTTGTGTGGAATAGGTCAAAATATAATTTTACCCCCTCCCAGATATGCCAATTGTAAAAAAATTTGGTACCTACGATTTGTTTTTAAGCTATACAACGAGTTACAACTAAGACTTGTGTTAAAATAAACCATAAAGTTATGGTTTTGATTTTGACGAATAAATTATTTTGCCTCTTCCCTATCCCTCCTTAGTTATTTACTCAGTTATGACACTAAAGTGAGTAATTTGCATTTATTTAAGTAAAATAAATTAATTCTGGTTTACTTTCATTTTCAGAGGACAAAATGGTGTAACTAAACAATCTCTCATGTCAACAACTTCATTGTCTTCCAGCTTGGCTATCTTTGCAGGACCCGTATTAGTATCTAGTTCGAATAAATTTGGAACTATTGGGGCGCTCACAAGAAAAGATAAAAAAGAAAAAAAAAGACGAAATAGAACTGTATCAAAAATGGCAACAACAAATGATAGAGATGTGAGCATTTCTAGCAGCTCTACTAGCAACAGTCAATGGTATGCAGTGCCGGATGCTGATAATATGTCTTTGAGTTCTATAAACAGTAATCTTAGTGTATTTTCTTCTCCAACACCTGTCATTGAATTACGGCAAGAGGTAATTACAATAGTAATTCCTTAATTATTTTGCAATGAAAATAAATAATTGCTTATCTTAAAAATATAGTTGACACCTAAGAGGCCTCTGCGCTCAGAAATGGAAAAAGAGAGGCGTTTAAGTCGGCCTAATAGTGGTCAATATCAATTTTCAAAGTTACCATCCATGAACAGTCTTAACAGAGATTCATTGGGTAAGTAAATACTATAATATTCTAATAGACTATTATCATTAAATGTTGTTTGTTATTTTTACTAGTAGCAACAGATTCAACGGCAAGTGATGATGACACTCCTCCACCATTACCTGCAAAAACCAGAGAATCAGATTATTCAAACCTTTCAGACAAGGATAGTTTGGGCTTGCCAGATTATTGTAGTCCTATTATAAATAACAATATTATGGTAAGTGTTTATGTTTTATTCTATACCCAATATGAACAAGTAAATTACTAAATATTTTATTGTTGTTGCATGTCTAGTCAGAACAGCCGTTACAATTAATTAACTCACAAGAAAACAATAGACCACCAACACCTCCTCCCAAGAAACCCCCAATGAAAGCTCCTGTATAAAAAATGTTTAATTTATTGATTTTTGTTTCATAAATAATAATAATAAAAAAAAAAAAAAAATGAAGCTGTGACCTATGAAGAATAATTTTATTATTTCTGATATTTTTAAATTAAGTTAATAGAATTTAATAAGTATAACCATATAACATGTATAATATTATATTACTAATTTAAATCAGTTATATTTATACCAAACAAATAATATGATTTTGATTGAAGAATTGATAAATGATTATTCACCGATCAAGTTTTATTAGTTGATATTAATATCAGTACAGCTTCATTTTTTTTTTTTTTTTTTTTTTTTTTTATCAGTGAAACTTTTTTGTTTTGTATTGAGACCTATTGGTGCAATAAATATATTATGTATTAAAAAAAAAAAAAAAACTATTTAATCTCATTTACAGATATTATTTGTGTTTTAATTTATTATATTCATATATTTGTGTGTTAGTAAAAAAATTTATATAATATTATGTTAGTGAAAATTATATAGAATAGTAACTTCGTCTTATTATTGTTTGCAAAATGTACTATTTGATTTTATAGACTGCTTTTTCTCTCCTCTTTTGTAATATGTATTTTTTTATATATGCATATATATTATATGTATAGTGTAAACATATATAATATAAATATATATTTATGTATGTATTTATATTTTTACATATTTTAATAGTAATTTTAAGTTAACAGAACTCGAGTTGCTCAAAACCTGTTTATGAAAAAATTATGTCAATAAACATGCAGTTACCATAAAAACATTACCAGAGCGCATGTCAATTATTTTACACAGATTTCACAATAAATCCAATGGTTGTTATATTTTTATAATATATCACTAATATTTTTATATAAAATCATATATATTTTTGTATTCTTTAAGTAATAACAAGTTTATTGTTTTTACTTCTTTCTGAATTTTTATTTTTGTGTTTGTCGTGTGCTTGTGTATTTTATACTTAATATTGTGTATTTGTGTAGTATTTTTTTTTTTTTTTTTTTTTTTTATTGACATGAACATTATTTGCATCTCTATTATATTATGTATATGTAATATTGTTCAGTCATTCAGATTTACCAAAGGAATAAATATTTTAAGTATTATTGTGTGATTGATTAGACTATGTCATCATAGGTATTATTATTTATTATTATTGTCTATAAAATATCATTATTTATAATACCTATTAATAATAAAAGTATTTTACATTAATGTTTTAGCCTTCAGTATGTACATGTCTGCTTCCTGACATCTTCTTTGGCAATTAGTAGGACCCGTCTACTAGTCAAATGCAACTAAGGTGGATGGAAGTGTGTCCAGCTCTTTTCTCCCTCCAAAAAATCTATTTTTAGGCCTCACAAAAAAAAAAAATGTTCATGCAAATTTTGAAAATCTTAATAGGGAATTTTTGTAAATGACCTGTGAACGTGAATGTGAAGAACAATAACTTATTTTAAGACTTAAGACACACACACACTACACTTCAAAACGTAGATATAGCAATTTATTATGGTGATAGTAGCAATCTAATGTGAATATTGTGAAATAACGAAATTTTAATGATAAACACCATCAGGGAAGGCTTTCACTTACACCTGAAACACTTCACCCCTTAAACGGGGCTGGTTAGTATTGTATTAATAACTTCAAACAACACCACGGTTACACCGCATAATAGATTATATTATTTAAGTGAATCGTGACACGTGTGCAAGCATGGAATTTGAATAGTGCGGAGGTGGACAACATGATGTTTAGATTCTACTTGAATAAATGGTAATTTCATTCAAATTTTCATTTTAGTAAATATCATTAGATTTGCCTACACTAAACCAGTGGTTATGTGGCGTATAACCGTGTAACGTAACGTTAAACATGATGTTGATACTGTATTAATTAATTTATGAAAATTTAATTCATAATATTATGTTATTTCAATAGCACAAATGAAATTATAGTGGAATATAACGTTTTTCTAAAATTGATGGAAATCCAAAAGTTTGATATTATAAAATTATAATGTATGGTCGTATGGATGATACTCCTACGAGGATCCATAAGCAGCTGATGTCTGTCAGTCGAATACCAGGTAAAATTATTAGAAGAAATTGATCAGATCCCCGTATTGGCCTTTATTAAAAGTAAGTTTTAAAATGTAATTGTATACGCATATAGTTAATATTTAATGGTAACTTGTCCGGTACAAAAAATATTGAATAGGTACCTATTTTGGTCTGCATTTTATAATTTTAGTCTATGATTAATGAATATTGAAAAGGATGCTAGTATTGACACTTTGTCACATATTATCTATTCTAATTCGGAGCCACATGTCAATCGTTGTAACCTAACTCACTAGCGAATAGGTACGTGTTTAAACTATATTGTATTGTATGTAGGTACTCAAGGGTGCACTGGTCTGGCGGGACAACGGGACAAAATATGCCAGTGGTCCGTTACAATAATAAATTAAATGGCCTTATAATATTTTGGGAATTAAAAACATAGTGTATGTTGTGTATGAAATAACATGGAAATATAATATTGTATAGGTATATATTATAATGCATAAATGATAAATAGCTCATCTGCTCGTGGTGATTTTAAGTATCATTAATCATAGTAATCGACTCATGATCGATAAGCTATTTTTCATTTTGTGCTAACAGTTATTTAAATATTATAATAATTATAATTATTTATATTATGATGTACGAAACACTATATACAAATGTATACGAGACTGTCTAGGGGGATTTATTTATAAACTATAAAATTATTACTTCTTATGCTTGTAATAAACTATAAAAATAATAACACCGCAGCTTAGACGTTCACACTTATCGCAGAGATAACAAAAACAATATTGTAATGTAGTCAGTCTCGTGTTTCATTTTATTTGTTAGCGTTATTTATAAATATGTTATACGTTTAGTATGTTTATTTTTATCTGTATTGAGTGTAGAAAACATTTACTAAATAATAATGGTTTTTTTTTTTTTTTTTAACAAAATTATGACCAAATCGTTTGTCCTGGCGAAAAAAAAATTCAAGTCTAAAATATTCACCCAATCCGTCCCTGCAGGTATCTACCACATGTACCGTATATTGTATATAACAAGGCATATCGACATGGTCACTATACCTGTACACTAAAGAAAGAGTAATGGATCTTGTAACTTGTAATTTCTCACAAAATTTAAAAAACTTTTATATTCTTAGGTCAATATAATATGCATTAAATGATAGATGTAGAGATAATTGACGTACCATCAAATTTAAAGATAAAAATATAACCAGTATGTTTTTCCATTATTTTATTAACCTTTCACCCAAAGAATGATAAATTGACGAAGCATCAAAAATAATATTACGAGTTTTGGGACCTCTTCGCATAAAATAATGGAAAATAGGATACCTAAATACTTAGAAAATTCCATTTCTTTTTTTTTTTACCAGTTTTTTGAAAATAAACAGATTGCACTTATTTTCAGCTAATGCTTATACTACGGTAAATAGTTTTATAATAATGTTGGTGATCGCATACGTATTGCGAGTGACGAATTACTTAACGTTTTTGTTAGGCGTTTAGGTCGTTTTTTATAAAAATTTGATGCACTTTGTAGGGGCTTTAATATTAATTTAAACTCAACTTATAAGATAAATGTATTATTATTAAGTAAAGCCTTAACAATCTCATTAAACACAAATGACGTCAGTAAACTTGTAAGAATTTTTTTCCTTGTTCTACATTCCGTCTACACGTTTTTAATTATCCGCTGAAAACATTGTAAAGATTATTCTAACTGTTTTTCTTAATTGTAAGTTTGTTACTCACTTTTCTGGTTCAATGCACTCGGCACTAGATAATTTCATTACAGCTAATCCGATGAGCGTAATGTTATTTTTTTTTTAATTTCTTGACGTTCCAAAAGTCTTTGAATTTTAGGTACCTGCTATTATACTTTATTACTTTTTCGATAGAATTAAATAAAAATAATTGTTAAATGGGATTGATTACTTATAAACGTATTTTTACTTTTTATATTATATTATGTATAATATATATACTGGTATTCTGATCCCATTTACATTAATGTATTACTAAATTCTTTTTTTCGATATTAAGCTGTTTTATAATTTGATTAATAATTGTTTGCGTGTTGAATGTTGAAGATTATTCACACAAACTATTATTGACAACAGCTCATTTGTTTTATATTTTTAACTCGTGATAAAGGAAGAAGTTACTAAGAGATGTCTTCCGCTTAAAAGTTTTACTTATTCATCGTCACATCGACCCAAATAATGTATTTCCACGAAATTTCCATATTATCATTTTCACGAAAATGGTTTATATACTTATGATGTATTCGATGCCATCGCAATGTCATTCGGAAAAACCTATTTCGAACGATGACAGCCGTGTAAATTGCATGGAAATTATAGTGTGGTTATAGGTACGTCGTTCTTGGAATAAAACGTATATGCGAACGATGACTTATGACCTTACAGTGTAAACGCGATCGGATCGAATTTTTCGACTAGGATCATTTAAACCGCAGCCGCGAACGCTATATCTATGGTTAAAAAATCCGGCGGATTTCCTATAAGCTTCCACGATCTTTCCTAAAACGCCATCGTCAACGAGTGCGGACACTGATGGACGGGCCAACAATGGCTATTACGGTCAAAAAGGGCGGATGCTAGATTTATGTAAAATGAATAAACTGCAGATAAAACTCGACGGAAACGATTTTTATTACAAAAGACTGCACAAAAATTTCCATGTCTGTGAAAAGATGGAAAATAGAGAGGGACGATAAATACGTCGAGACGACTGTAACGAGCGTGATGCAGGTGCCGACAGTTCTATAATAATACTGCTTGTTATAATACTACACACAATTCTTTCGACCAATACACTTAACATGAAAAAAATATACCGGAAATAGGAAATGATAATGCTAAGGACGGATTACGCCAATTTTCCTGTTTCCCTGGACGTGCTGTAGATATTTTCGATAACACTCCACCTCTAAGTTATCATTTCTTTTTCGATA